ATGGATGTATCTATTGCATTGACGATCTGCATTATTGTAAATATACCATGCTAAATGGATGTATCTATTGCATTGACGATCTGCATTATTGTAAATATACCATGCTAAATGGATGTATCTATTGCATTGACGATCCACACTGGTGTAAACATACCATGCTAAATGGATGTATCTATTGCATTGACGATCTGCATTATTGTAAATATACCATGCTAAATGGATGTATCTATTGCATTGACCATCCACACTGGTGTAAACATACTATGCTAAATGGATGTATCTATTGCATTGACGATCTACACTGGTGTAAACATACCATGCTAAATGGATGTATCTATTGCATTGACGATCCACACTGGTGTAAACATACTATGCTAAATGGATGTATCTATTGCATTGACGATCTACACTGGTGTAAACATACCATGCTAAATGGATGTATCTATTGCATTGACGATCTACACTGGTGTAAACATACCATGCTAAATGGATGTATCTATTGCATTGACGATCCACACTGGTGTAAACATACCATGTTAAGTGGGTGTATCTATTGCATTGACGATCCACACTGGTGTTAACATACTATGCTAAATGGATGTATCTATTGCATTGACGATCTACACTGGTGTAAACATACCATGCTAAATGGATGTATCTATTGCATTGACGATCTACACTGGTGTAAACATACCATGCTAAATGGATGTATCTATTGCATTGACGATCCACACTGGTGTAAACATACTATGCTAAATGGATGTATCTATTGCATTGACGATCCACACTGGTGTAAACATACCATGCTAAATGGATGTATCTATTGCATTGACGATCCACACTGGTGTAAACATACCATGCTAAATGGATGTATCTATTGCATTGACGATCCACACTGGTGTAAACATACTATGCTAAATGGATGTATCTATTGCATTGACGATCCACACTGGTGTAAACATACCATGCTAAATGGGTGTATCTATTGCATTGACGATCCACACTGGTGTAAACATACCATGTTAAGTGGATGTATCTATTGCATTGACGATCCACACTGGTGTAAGCATACCATGCTAAATGGATGTATCTATTGCATTGACGATCTACACTGGTGTAAACATACTATGCTAAATGGATGTATCTATTGCATTGACGATCCACACTGGTGTAAACATACCATGCTAAATGGATGTATCTATTGCATTGACGATCCACACTGGTGTAAACATACCATGCTAAATGGATGTATCTATTGCATTGACGATCCACACTGGTGTAAACATACCATGCTAAATGGATGTATCTATTGCATTGACGATCCACACTGGTGTAAACATACCATGCTAAATGGATGTATCTATTGCATTGACGATCCACACTGGTGTAAACATACCATGCTAAATGGATGTATCTATTGCATTGACGATCCACACTGGTGTAAACATACCATGCTAAATGGATGTATCTATTGCATTGACGATCTGCATTATTGTAAATATACCATGCTATGTTAATATATGCAGGCTATTGCATCAACGATCCGCGCTGACGTATATACGTCATGTAAACTGTATGTATCAATTGAATTGACGATCTGCATAAGTGTAAACATACCATGCTTAACGAGGCGTATAGCTTTTTTATTTTTTCGTGAAGCCACTCAGTAAAATTACGATCTCTCTGCAACCTGATGTCCAATCAAGATCATTCAAGTATCGATGTGTTCCTGATACGCTTGGGCGTCCGGGAATAACATTATCTACCCAAAATTTGCACGCGAAATTGACGTAATTCTTGACTGAAATCGGGAAGACAAAATTTGAGATCCACAACAAATTGCTTGTGAATACTATTTACAAAAGTGTTCCAGAGACTCTAATCTAATTGGCTAAGGTTTTATCTGAAGATACATTGCCTTATTAAGCAGGTAGAGGGGCATACAGAACACGGAATCAAATGCTATGTTGAAAATCTTCTTTATTTCACGTCACGTAGGCCAGTGTTTTATATGGGGATTATATGTACTTTACTTGTTTACATGAACGTAAATCATTACATGAAATCTTCAGTCTTCCGGGTTGTATCTGGGTTTGTATTGTCTTATTGGGGCTTTTCGACTTTAAAACAAACCTTACCTAAATGGATTTGTGTCTCGGGAACATTTTTGTAAATAGGCCTAGTTATTATAAACAATTCTGAAAAAATATCACATATTTTTGTCTTCCCGATTTCAGTCATGAATTACGTCAATTTTACGTGCAAACATTGGGTAGACGTTGTCATTACCGGATGCCCAAACGCGTCAGAAACACATAGATATAGATACTCGAATGATGTTGATTGGACATCAGGTTGCATAGAAATCTTTATTTCACTAAGTGGCTTCAGGAAAAAATAAGCAGCACTTTAGGCCACCTTAATTAATGTATGCAGGCTATTGCATCAACGATCAACACTGGTGCATACACACAAAAATCAGAACTGATGTAAACGCCAAATGTATGTATCTACTGTAGTGTAAATATACCATGCTAAACATCTGTATCTATTGTATTGACGATGCACGCTATTGCAAAATCGTATGTTGATTAAATGAATATATTGCACCGACGATCCACACTGGTGCAAGCATATCATGCTAAAATGTATGTATTATATTGGCGATCCACACTTCTGAAAGCATACCATGCTAAATACATGTATGTATTGAATTGACGATTCTCGCTGCTGTAAACATACAATGCTTAATTTATATATGATTGCATTGACGATTCTCGCTGCTGTAAACATACAATGCTTAATTTATATATGATTGCATTGACGATTCTCGCTGCTGTAAACATACAATGCTTAATTTATATATGATTGCATTGACGATTCTCGCTGCTGTAAACATACAATGCTTAATTTATATATGATTGCATTGACGATTCTCGCTGCTGTAAACATACAATGCTTAATTTATATATGATTGCATTGACGATTCTCGCTGCTGTAAACATACAATGCTTAATTTATATATGATTGCATTGACGATTCTCGCTGCTGTAAACATACAATGCTTAATTTATATATGATTGTATTGACGATCAACAGTGGGGTAAACATACAATGCCTAATTTAATGTATCCCTTGCACTGACGATCCGAACTGGTGTAAATATACTGTGCTAAATGTATGTATCTATGGCATTGACGATACACACTACTGCAAATCGCACAATGATTTCATGTAAACGTTGCATTGACGATCCACTAAGATGTAAACATGGTATGCCAAATGTCAAAATTGCACTGACGATCTGCAATGATTTAAACATACTATGCTAGATGTATGTATCTATTGCACTGACAATTGCTCTGGTGTAAACATACCATGATGAATATATGTATGAAGGCTATTGCATCAAAGATCCACACTGGTATAAATAAATCATGCTAAATGTATGTATCTGTTGCATTGATAATCCACACTGGTATCATGCTAAATGCAAGTATCTATTACATTGACGATCCACATAAGTGCAAATATCGCATGCAGATTTAATGTATATGACTTTATGTTGCACTGACGATCCACACTACTGAAAACACGTCATGCTAAATTCATGTATGCAGGCTATTGCATCAAGGATCGACACTGGTGTAAGTAAATCATGCTAAATATATGTATATATTGCATTGAAGATCCATAATGGTGTTAATGATCTATCCATGGTGTAAACGTGCTATGCTAAATGTACATATTTATTTCATTGAAGATCCGCACTTGTGCAAAAATAATATTACACGGACGATCCACACTGGTGAAAACATGCCATGCTAATTTTATGTACATATTTCACTGACGATCCACACTGGTGAAAACGTATTATGTTGAGTAATTAGGCTAGTGATTAGTTTATATGAAATCGAATTTGAAATCGGGAATAACAGATACATACATGCTAAATGTTTTCAGAAAAATGTCGCTTCAGTACATTTATTCAACATTCTATATCGTCTTATTTGCCCAATTCATAAATAAATCAAGTCGATGTATATAGATTCACGTATGATTTTTACAACAATGAAAATATTAACAAAACAAAAATACAGATATTAAAATATCATTATTTAAAGTGAAATTAGATATATGTTATTTTAACTTAAACAAGACACAGAGTGAACAGTATCACACCCTTGAAAAGAATACAATTTTCGGGACGGAAAATTCAAAATGGCAATCCTAACACTTACCCAGACTGCTAAAAACTAATCAGCTCGAAACTTTTATGTGTAGAAACATCCCTAAATACCAGATGGATCCATAAAACGGTTTGGCCGGAAACCTATACACAACCCTCGACAGACCAGATTTTAAATTCGAAAATCCAAAATGGTTACCCATTTGGCCACGTTTTGGCACCCGAACATTTCCCCAGAACAGCCCAAAAACTAATCAGTATTGAACCGTTACATGTAAAAACATCCCTGAAAAGTACAGATAAATCGATGAGATGATTTGGTGGGAAACCTGTAGATAATCCTTGACAGACAAGATTTCAGGATGAAAAATCCAAAATGGTGGCCTTAATGCCCAAAATTAAATCAGTTCCAAACTAGAAAAATCTCTGAAATGTTGAATGAATCCCTGGAACGGTTTGATTGGAAACCTGTAGACAGACCTGGACAGACAAGATTTTAGGAGCGAAAATCCAAAATGGCCGCCCTCACATTTTTCTAGAATGCTATAAAACTAATCAGTTCTAAACTTTCATACGTAGATACATCACTGAAAATTTCAGATGAATCCCTGAAATGATTTGACCGGATACCTGTAGACAAGATTCATTAGTATGTCCGTCCATCCGATCGCCCTCCCCCCCCACCCGCCCGGCAAATTGATCAAAATATAGCACCCTAGAGTGCGATAAAAAGCTGGTTATCATAATAACTGTATAAAAAACAAGCAATTGTGCTGTTATTTTCCAGCTTGTTCTGAGTACGAGTATGACAAGTACGAGTATGACGAGTACGAGTATTTTATTATATTACATTAGTGTTAGATTATGTCCTTTTACTTACAATTAAAACATAAACATGCGACCAGTTTGCAAAACAGTTAAGTCCTTTCAAACCTGTTGTAGGTTTGAAATCTGATCTATTGATCACATGCTTTCCTTGAATGTCTTGAATCATAGTGGCCATCGATCCCGTTCGTATCACCGATATTAACACATCCTGTCTTGCTATGGTGATGGTACCCACCTGTACGCCTTATACAAAGAAGATTTGTGTTCACTTTGTTCATTTACAGGACCTATTTTGCCATGCTGATGGAAGGCATTAGACAGATCAGACCCTTGGTTACTTCGTCCAATCTTTCCGGCAGCAAGAGCAACTCCAGGCATGTTGAGCGACTTGGCAGCACCCAACCCTGGCATTTGGCCTTCACCAGCGACTGTCTCCAGGAAACCAAACGCCGCGCCGATTGGAGAAAATAACTTAATGGAAAGTGGATCACCTCCTTTTGCTATGATAATGGCCTAAAAATACATATTTAAAACAATAGAATCATTTCAAAATGCTCCTGTATTTTCCACATATCTTGTCGCATATCGTTGTACACGGATTTGGAATTGAATAAAAGAAAGACACATTCAGTCCTTTTCAAATGGATTTGGAACAACAGCCTTTTACGATAGTACGGATTGACTTTCCTTAGCAAAAGAAATGCCATCAGATTTAGAAATAGTCCATCATCTAAAAATGAATGTCACTGCTGTCTAACAGTATTACCTTTGGGATAAAAATCAGTAGAGTGGTCAGAATTGTTGTGAATATTATCAGACATCCAGTTATGATAAACAAGGCATTCGGTTCAGTTGGAATCAAGAACGAGATAACAACCAATACAATACTGGTCAACAAACTCATGAAGACTGCAACAGCAAAACCGGAAAAGTGGGAGTATCCTTTCTTCATTGACATAAATCTTGAATATAAGATTAAATTATGTTATATGTCGACGCAGCTTTATGCACATGGACACGATAACAAAATTAAGAAAATACTACTTATTGCGCAAATGCATTGCATCACGTAAATTGCATCACGTAAGATAAGGCAAGCATTTTTAAATAGCTATTTATTTACTTCTAAAAACTCAATAACCACGTAATCATATGGGTCTGTTCGGTGTACTTTTATCTGATACATCAGACAATATGTCCATGTAGTTATATGCAAATGAACACAATAAAAAAACTATAAGAAATTACTTCTAATTGCAAAAACATTCATTTATAGTATAAAAAAAACATGTACATTTTCTTCTGATCACGTCCTCTATTGAACAATTTTTGTCATAATTTCTTCTTCCTTTTCACCAGTGTTTAATTATATCATCGGTTCAAAAGGTAAAACATACATATATAGGACCATGGTATGACTTCCAAATATGAAGGATCTGCAGCACATTATAGTGCAGCAATATTTGAAGCAATATGTCTTGATTTTTTGTATACTCTTTGCTGAAAAACTCCCTCTTTCGGCTCGAAAAAGTCTTACATTACTGGGAGTCAAAAAAGGTAACTACTTTGATTCGAACTATAATACATTTTATAAGACACAGACCGTTATTCTAAGTATACGGTCAACAATAGATTGTCATGATGTTAAAAATTTAGTATAACTTTACCGTAAATGTCGGTGTTTAATTAACCAGTGTGCTTTTCAGATTTTGTTTGATTTTTCAAATACGAACCAAGCAAATTCAACAAAATTGTGTGGAATATTTAGGTAATCTATGATTGCGAACATATTAGTTTTCTTACATTTTTTAAGAATTTATCCATATTATCGCAATGGGTCAAACAACAAATTATTATTCAAGTTTTATATAATAGATTTATATCTAATTAAATTTTACAGAGGTATTGGAATGTTCATATATTCCAAGGGCATATCTAATAATCTATAATAGTCATATGCAATCGAACCCCTTAAAATTCTTCCTCGACGTTACTTTTCATCAAATTTTCTAATGGTTATTTCTTCTTTGAGCTTACTGCTGGATATCATCACATTTTATGAAGATAGTGATAACGATTGTTCTCAACGATTCATGAATGATTTTTCCATAAGCACTGGACAATATCTAACTACGAGAAATAGAATTTTAGCTTTAGTCGCAATTAGTCAAGGAAGAGCAATAGGTCCTCTTTTATTGTTATTGTTCACCGCGGAATAACAGTCAGTACTAATCTATTATCTCAAAACGTATTGAGACCCATTCTTGAAAAACTAGCATAATTTAAGCATTTGTCATTCTCATATAAAAAGAATTCATATGTACCAGTTATTTATTATCAAACTTGTACCATTAAAATCTGAGAAACAATACAAAACGTCGATGCACTAAATTACATATTTTTTTGTATTGATGAGAAAAATAACCTCAAACTTATAGCTCAGAAACCATAGTCATATATTCAGAATAGTTTTGTATTATTTTCTGTCACATTGTGTACTCCAAATTGTTAAGGGGGGGGGGGGGGTTTAGTCTTTGGTAATTACCTCTGCTAATGACAGGTACAATTCAGCCTAAAACCCGGAAGTGCATTAAACGGTTTTAATGAAAATAATTAGGGACAAATGTAGGTAATATGTAAATATTAGGTCAAATATAGCTGCGCTATATTGTGCTACCAGCTCCTTTATTAGATGTCCTAGAGATTTCATACCATGAACTATATGTGTTTTTATCAGTTATAGATATCACTTACAGTGCTGGCCAAACTATAAATCCACCCAGCAATAACACAATGCCTTTGTAATATAGTGTGGCAATTAGAAAGTAGTTCTTGTATGTTGATTCACATTCAATCATTATGGTTATTGTCCTTATCGATGTATAATCGTCAAGCTATAGAGAAATGCAATATATATGAATGCCCCTGTAACATAGTGTGGCAATAAGAAAGTAGTTCTTGTATGTTGATTCACATTCAATCATTATGGTTATTGTCCTTATCGATGTATAATCGTCAAGCTATAGAGAAATGCAAAATATGAATGCCCTTGTACTGTAACATAGTGTAGCAATTTGAAAGTAGTTATTGTTGTATATAGATTCACATTCAATCATTATGGTGATTGTCCTTATCGATGTATAATCGAAAAGTTATAGAGAAATACATGTAATGTATTGTGGCGAATTTTGTTTCCTCAGTGATTCTATTTTGTATAAACTATGTCAATTGAAGATGTATTATTTTATTTGTTGATTTTATGTATGACCAGTTTTGCCATTTTTTATATGTTGAGTCAGTCGACTCTTTCAGAGAGTTTGATGGCTCAAATGTGTACATGCAGAATGTCACGTAGGCACTGGGATGTTTACTGATCAGCAGACTGAAGTGGAATAAATTAGAATAATTAAGTACCCAGCAACCGGTGATCAGCCAATCAGATTCTTTTATTTGAATTTCCCTCCAACTTAAGTTGTAGTTTTCCCATGATGCAACTTGAGGTGTCTGGATTTTATTGTTTGCAATTAACCACGTGAATCAGAGTAAACCAAGATCTTGAAGATACAACACCTCGTCAGTTTGGATTTATTTATGTGCAAGCGTGTTTGATTTAATCTGTGAACTTATTGGAGCATTATTTTGGATATATTGGATTAGTTGCAGTAATCGTTAGATGCAGATTGTATTTGGTGCGACTATTGAAGAAAATACAAGACAACAGCCAGTGTTTTGGTGAGTTAGCCATTTTCTTGATTGTGGTTGGCATAAAATGGGTAATTAGCTGTCCGCCATCTTGCTTTCTTGTTCCCACAATTCCCGGCGGTCGGCCATCTTTGATTTTGAAGGAAGTGACGTCATTTTGAGAAGTTTTGAGCTCCAGATTCTCTGAGTAGATTTGGCTCTGTCTAATCTCATTTCTTTGATCGATATTCGTGAGTCATTCTGCTCTGAGTATTGGTGGCTCCTAGTCATTACCCCTCCAAGCTATAAATGCTCCTAATTTGTCGAGGCGATCTGACTCTCACCCAGGGTTGTATGTTGAGGAAGGTTTACTCTCATTGGAGCCAAAGTTACATTACCGGAACTGAGGTGCTCCAAGGCGAGAGATAACAGCTCTGTCTAATCTCATCCTTTGATCGACATTCTAGAGTTGTTATTCTCTACAGAGGTTGTAGTGAGGTTGCTCCTGCGAAGCGGTGACTCCGAGAGCAGAAGTTACTCTTTGGAGACAGTGTAGCTCATTGAGTGAGAGCACTCTTTGAGTAGAGGTTACTCCTGAGACGAGGCGATTCCCGGGGCTGAGGTACTCCCAGTGTGTGGATCTCGTTGGAGAGCAGAGGTTTCTCCTGAGAAGTGACGACTCCAAGAGCAGAGGATACTCCCGGAGCCTGGACCCCTTCCAAGAGACAGTGTAGCTCAAGAGTGAATTGAGCAGAGGTTGTAGAGAGGTATATCCTGAGAAGTGGTGACTCCAAGAGCAGAGGTTACTCTCGGAGCCTGAACCCCTTCCAAGAGACAGTGTAGCTCAAAGAGTGAAAGCACTCTTTTGAGGAGAGTTTAAGGGTGGTTACTCCCGTGACAAGGCGACTCCCGAAGCAGAGGTTACTTCTGGAGCCAGGGCTCCTTCCCAAAGACGAGATAGCTCAAGAGGGAGAGCTCTTTTCAAGCAGAGCAGAGAAGAGTAGACAAGCAAAATATTGCAGAGAGCAGAGCCGAGTATATCAGAGTATAGCAGAGCAGAGACAAGCAGAGTATTGCAGATTAGAGTAGAGACAGATAACTCAGAGCCAGAGTGTTTTGGACCCTTGTATATATATAGAGACATTTGCATTTGAGTTATTGGCCATAAAGGCTTTATTAAAGGACACTTTGAAATTTATTGTGATTATTGTGTGTTGAATAGATTGTTAAAAATCCTGTAATTGATTGTTTTGTATATTCCTGTGTTCTCCATCTCCTAGCTCAGTGACAGCCGAAGCACCAAACAAGCTCGGCGCCCGTGAGAAACACCTCCGAATCCCTTATCATCGCCACCAGACCTTCTCCGAGGGAGTACAGGTACTCGGCGGGAGTCTGGCGCGCGACATTGGTGGCAGCGGTGGGATACTTCACTTTTCACAGAGATAGAGCGGAATATTGAGATGTTGGAGGCAGGGAGAAGCCCCCGAACTTCGGAGCATGGTGGCTCGACTGATGATCCTGGGGTCATCCCAAAGGGGATAACCAGAAGGGAACCAGAGCCAGATGATACAGTTTTGTTTAAAGGTGCCCCAAGGAACCTGGAGCTGGAGGCCCAAGACACTCTTCCATTGGAGTCAAGGGACTCGGGTCTGAATCCAGAGAAGTATGGTGCCATGGGTGGTACAGAGAGATATTTGCATGTACCTGAACAGAGACCAGGGCAGAGAGTGGCCCAAGACAGTACTGGGTATTGGTCAGAGTCCAGGATGCAGTCCAGGATGCAGAGTGAGTTCACTCCCTCCAAGTTTCGTACTCCTGGAGTACTAGGCAGACAGGACCAGCCCTTCCCTGTTACCTCCACAGAGATCAAAAGTGATCATGGAATGGCCAAGAAGCCCACATCAAGTGAAGATGCTCAAAAGAGGACCAAACGTGAACTCTCAAAGATGGGACAAGATATGGAGTCCCTGAGGCAGGATGTCATGGGTATTAAAGGTGGTCTGGGTCAGAGCCTCCAAGGCCAAGAAGAGATGAAGCTCGAAATGAGACAATTACATGAAACGCTGGTGAACTTAGTACCTTCAATTGCTTCCTCTCGATGCTCAACTCCACGTAGAAGGTCGAGTAGGAGTCACACAGACTTGAGGGATAGAGAGACTGAGGCAGATATGTTGAGTGAAGGTGCTCCCGAGAAACGGCTACGAGAGACTACAAGGAGGTTGAGTTTGATTACTCATGAAGAGAATCCTCAACTATCTACAGGAAGATGGCAGGATCAGTT